AATCACTCATTCATTTATTTACATTCCCAGTATGTGGAACATCTGTAGTAACTATTACGGGAGTAAAGCTTTAAAACACAGCACGTAGCCACTTCCTGTGTAAGCCAAAGAGACAGACGCAGCACAGGACATAAACACAGCAATTCCAGGTTACACTGGATAAGGATAAGACAGATCAGTTATGCAGATAATATGAAATACACAGTGAATACTAGTATTTGTCAACACTCTGTAGTTGGTGAAACAGCCGGACAACAAGGAAAAGTAGACCCACAGGCTCTATTTTGCTCCGTCTAATGATGATGAGATGGAAGAGTGCTTCAAAGCGCCCACATGCAAATTGATGGATGAGCTCCAAACCCCAGAGAGATGATCCAGTCTTCCACAATAATTCCCCAGTGAAACAATTAATTGATTGTTTTGTTTTGTTTTTTTGCTTGTTTTTAATTAATGGTTGTCACCAAGTGTGTTTTTTTCTAACCATGCAACACAACAAGAACAACAAAATGTAGCTCTGTCAAAATCACATCTATAAAACCGCTGTGATGAGCTAAACTGTCCTAATGGCAGATGGTGTTTTTCTTTACTCACGTGGTTCTATCATAGAAATACATTTTTAAAAATAAGTCATTTATATTAGTGCACTTTCCAGTAAATTGACATTCAAACGAGGGGCGAGAGTTCCCTCAGATGAAGCTCACCCGTTCTGCAGTTTATTATTCCAGTTTCTGATTAGTGAAGCTGCTTGGTTAGAATAAAAAAGCAACTAAAGGTTTGACTTAAAACACACACAGATCAGAAATGTTGAACTTTTCACATGACACATGGAGTTATAAGAATATGGCCTTTAGATGGGGGTAAGACGCCTGTGTAAACATCATTTAACCCCGCCCCTCAAGCTCAGAGTGTGACACACAGCACAGTAGGATTTGACAGGGGCTCATAAAGGATCCTGCAATTTTTAGGCAGGAGAATGACTAATCCTACACAGAGCACAAAGCAGTAATTATGATGGCAGATTGTACTTTTCGACCAGTCACAATTTTACTGTTCAAACAATAGTAACATTCAAAATGCAAAAAGAAGCATGACAACTTTGACACATCATCCATTATGCAGTTGACTCAGCCCATTGTCACAGAGGAAGCTCACTGTATGCATTACCTGGTGCAGTGTGCATGAACACAATCATATTGATGGCTGCAAACGCTGGCTGTGAATAGAGATCGTGCACTCTCTTCTGTATCCAGAGACTCTACCCTCTACCCATTATTTTTTCCTGCTTTTTCCAAAAAATATCTTTGTTTGGGTTTTTGTGTTTGTTTCATTTTTTCTGAGTGTCATCTGCTGGCAGCTCTTAACTGGCTGAAATCCTTTTACATAAAATAATGGACAGGAGAGGACAGTAATATACTAAATCAAAATGAGCAGCTTTATTTGTGACACAAGCGCTCACCTGTGTGATGCAAAATGATTTCTGTAAAGCTACTTTAATTAAGTCTGGAAGGAACTGGAAGGATGGACAATCCTGTGTTACTGTAATTCAAGTTCATCCAAGGATTAAAACAACAACATGATCACATACATTAGAAACAAAAACAACAAAACAAACCTCTGGTGAAAATTACTCTTTACTGTACCCTATTATCCAGTCTTTAAGCGATGACATATGAGCCCTGCTTCTGAGTCCAAACTACTCCGTGTTTTTAACATGTTTTGTATTTTGTTCTATTTGATCTTAACAAGCCCCTAAAAACAGTCCGTGATCACTGTCGGCCTGTCTCGGTTTTTACCACCACTGTTCATTTTAAAGCTCACTGTTTAAACCCTTACGATGTAACTGCAGCCCAGCCCATGCAGCAGTATATTAATGACTAACCTCGTATTGTGGATGGATTATCTCAGTTGTTCTCCTGACTGAAGTTTGGTCCGTTTACAGCATCCTGCCATGCGATTGCATTTGTCCTAACCATCGGGAACCCTCATGTTAACTTTTATCAGTGGAAAAAAGTTAGCGTTCATCCTCCAGCTTCACTGTGTTTATGTTATGCTAACGTACATCATTTTAAACCAGCTAGCCTAGGGTGACCATATTTTGATTTCCAAAAAAGAGGACATTTGGCCCAGTCATGAAGAACTTTAATGATACTGTTTGCTTAACCCTTTAAAACCGGTCAGGGTGGGCACGCTCAGTTTTGCGTAACTATTTTTAAATCCCGGTAGCACTGCAACCACGTAAGCTAGCCAATAATTTTTTTTGCATATGAAACCGGAGGAGTTGTACTTACATCTTATGCCATCAGCTTGTCCTAGGTCACGGTTTCCTTCCACATATAGCTTTGCAAAAACTGCATAAAAAGCACTTGCAGCAACAAAAACATAATATTCCAGAAACACGCTTTGCCGATCCGATCAGCTTTTCGTAACACTTCCTATGTTAGAATAGACGTCAGCGTGAACTATCGCATGTCCGCCATTACCTGCCCGAAACCGGAAGTGACGTCATTTTCGCGAAATGTAGTTTTTTACCATCAGGGCCTCATGAGCCTATACTGGTGTTTTTAAAAGTTATGTTTGACTTTATGACTTTCTGTGTCGTTTCTGGGATGCTAGGACTCATATTGCACTGCTGGAAATAGTTTATTTTGATGCAATGCTGCTTTTTTATTAATATTTATTTTCGTTTTTCCTGCAGTATATAAAAATTGGTGTATTTCAAAAATAAAACTATGAAGACACTCAAAATAAATTTCCTGTGGTGGGAAACTATTTTGTGCAACTTTTTTGTATTTACAGTTTTGAGGGATAAGCCTCTTAAATTTCTCTAACTAGAAATATATGTTAAAGATTTTCAATTTTTTTGTAGTTTATTGCACTTTTTTGCAATTTATGTAATTACTATGCACTTAATGCATACATATTATTAAAATTGGGCTATAATGGTTGTATTGATGTATAGCAACTTGAAATGCTCCCAAAAATGGCACTACAGCATGTAAAAATATAATATAAGCTCTGGCGGACTTGGTTCTATGGTAGGTCTTAAAGGGTTAAAGAAGATTTTAACATATTTAATTCTTCTCTGTGCGGTTAATGAATGGTGAAACAAAAATATCATATAGGCTTTTACAAGTCAACAAGGGCAAAAAAAATAACTTAAAAACCTCTGGAATTAAATAATGGCACAGAAATAAGGCCTCATCTGTATAAGAAAAATTACCAGTACGGGGATGGTACGAGGGAAATTTCTTTTGCAGTTCGTCTGAAAAGCTGCAGTTGCGCTTTAGCATCTTTAAACATCACCAGGCGTGCTGCTGCGCACTGTCTGTCCCGTCTATGAGTGCAGAACAACCACTCACAAAGCCACAGCTCGGGGATGACGTCACACATATGGGTCCTGTTTAGGAAAACCCGGACATTTTTATCGATCTCGAAAATCCCCCCGGACGCCCCGGACAGAATGTGAAAAGTGTACATGTCCGGGGAAAAGAGGACGGTTGGTCACCCTAAGCTAACCCAACTTCAGTAACCCTACAAACGTCACTGCTGTTTAGGTTTCTGTTTTTGTTTATGTTGGAAGTGACAGCAGAGCTGTACATTTGAATTTTTCCAGAAATCTCTCAGTCAGAACATGCTATATCATGTTTAGGTGGAAACTAGCGAGCTAACTTCCTGCTAACTTCTAACTCTGTTAAACGTAATAAATCCTGTTTTCGTGGATGTTAAACTTAATTGTTACACCTGGTAAAGCAGCAACGCTGATCATTTTATTAAAGATGAAAGAATTTAGACAGTTTGTAACTCTCAGTGATGCTGCAGTGTTCGTTTGACTTTGGGACCTGAAGCGGAGTTTGGACCTGGAAACGGCTAATGACATCAGACTTAAAGACCAGATACCATAAATGACTGTGTTCTTATGTCTTGATGCTTGCTCAGTCATCCAGGTAAGTAAACCCCAGAATCAGCCTTTCGAGCTGTGTTCTTCATTCATTTTCAGACGGGAAGTTGTTAAAAAAAAACTGTCATTCTTTACATACCACATACATATTATATGCAGTTCTCTTTCATAGCATTCGTTTCGTGTCTCACTATGGGAACGCGTCCTGCGTGACCTCATCAGAAGCTCAAATACCATTACGCCAGCCCTTACAGGCTGGCTAAGTGACGCCCATGTCAGGAGGGGCTAGTGCCTCCCTATATAATAGGCTGACAGAGCGTCAGATGTCATTCAAAAACCTCTTCTCGCTTCTCACAGAAGCCTGTAGCCTGTAGTTTTATATGTAAATATTAATCAGTCTTTTTAAAAAAAGATCCTTTTGACAATAAGGTCAGTGTTGTAATGAGGTTCCAAACCATTATAGCTTCAACAAAGCTTTGCTAAGAATTTGAAAACCATCTGAACTGCCTGTGCGTTCTCTTTCTCTAAGCCACCCTAGACTGAATTAATTGCCGTATTTAGTCTTGCTTCCGTTTTGCGTCATTTCACTTACATTCCTCACTCTGGCAACTGCATTGTCTTTATGAAGCCTAAAAAAAATTCTACATGTAAAGTCAGACGGTTGTCTTGTTTTAACCAGGAATTAAAGTGTGTTCTTGTCTCCACTGAGGAGTACTTTATACGTCTGTAAGTGAGCAGTTCTTTGCTTCACCACAGTCTGAAAAAGCATCCAGGTATGACAGTGTCTCACTCTAATGTGCATGACCTCTGAAGCACAGTCCTTCCCTTTTCCTTTTGCATAATAAAAGTGTCCACAAAAGAGTATCATTTATTTCAGTAGCTGCTCAGGTGTGTTATTATCTAACAATTTATAAAGCTGAGGAATGATTCCAAAAATAGAGTCAATTAAATGTAAAGTACTTGGAAAAGCAGCTTATGCTTTCACCTTCTCTTGATTGGACAGCTACAATTGATTTCACTGAATTAGTCAAGAAGAACTATATTCATGTTATCCAAAGCCCGCTGCTCTGAGCACACGAGGGCATTGCTATTCTTCACAGCACTAGTCTTAGAATTAACTGCAATTTCGTAACTTTTCAGTCTGTTCATGCCTGATTTCCCTGCTGATCGCTTTGTTTTTGACACATATATGATGACTGATGACAAATGCAAGAGTAGTCAACATTATTTACATCAATGTTTTATATATTTCCCGATATAATACAAATTAAGCAGACTGATACCACAATGAGTCCACTTTCTTTTCTTCTTTTGTCCCTAGCTGGCGGTCGGCAGGGGAGGTCGTTCAAAAAGCCAGTACGTCGCTGTGGGTGCCGTAGGGTTTCCATCTTGCTCAACGATGCACTTCCAGGCTTTGCGACCTCTGGCCTTAACCTTTGCTTGCTCGAGGGTTAGACGTCGTTGTTTAAGATGGTCTTCAATTTGCTTGATCCAAGTCTTGGGTGCGTCACGCTGCAGTAGAAGGCGATATGGCAGGCGATGGTTGCTCATGCGGCAGACTTGGCCAAACCACTGCAGTCGTCGCTTCTGGATCAGCTCTTCAATCGAGGGCTGCCGGTGTCATTGACTACGTATGCTGAGACAGGGGACACTCGGAGAATCTGACGCAAACAGCACATTTGGAAGAGCTGAAGCTTGTTGAGGTCGTGCTCGAGGATGACCCGGGTCTCTGATCTATAGAGAAGAATGGGCAACAGCAGTGTGCAGTACAGGCAGATTTTGGTGATGAGGGTGACGTTTGTCTTCTTCCAGACGCACAATCAGAGGGAGGTGAAAGCCGCAGCCGCTTGACCGATTCTTGAGTGTATTTCTGCTGTTGATGCCACTTTCTTTTCTTGCACCAGAGGTATTTGAATTCCTGCACTTGTTTGATTTGCACGCCTTCGAGATGCACGGTCGGTGGTGCTCATCAGTACTGAGGACTTTGGTCTTCTTGGCACTGATCTTGAGTCCACAGATTCAGGATCACTTGAAGAAAAAGCAACAGAGATACAGTCGTTTAGAGCATCATGTAATTATTCCTCATGTTATTTTTGTCACTTTGTCATTTAAATGTCCTGGCAGTCAGTCGCTTCTCTGCTGTATGTGTAAGATGTGAAAGTGCCTCTGCTAACTTCAGCAGCACACGCACAGAGTAATAAGAAATAGAAATGACATGAGAGATTCATGTAGCAGTGGCACAAAAAAAGTGAGATGAATTCAGGTCTTTATTGTCTAACAAAGACAGATATGGTTTAAAATATATTATTATTAAGAATTATCTTTCCAGTGAAGAGCTGATATTGTAATACTACAGCACCAAACTGAAGTGAACCTGCTTTCCACCGATGATCATTAACACACTGGGATCTTCTTTTGTTTCCACATCCATGTGTAGACGTATCGTCCTGCAGTCAGCATCACATATCAGACACTGTAAATGTGACGAAATATGTAAATATGAAGGTAGAACTAAGATAATTTCTAATAAGCTTTTACTTTCTCACCACTGCCGTTACTTTCTGCTTCCCATGTTGACACAGTGAGTCATAAATGCATTCAAATTTAAATTGGCCAGTAGCAGTTGTGCGCTACATTGCATTCCTGATGACCATTTAAAACTATGAGGAATTGTGTGATGTTTATTCTAATCACATTCTTTTAAAAGACAACAGGATGTCTCAGTGTGCCCGTGGCTGTAAAATTAAGGTAGTGAGCAAGCACAGTAAGACTGCAGCATACATTGTGACTGTTATTCTGATGAATAAGCTAAAACTGGGAGTAGTTCTGTGAGGGCAGTGCTATCTCCCCCCGGGCTGGTTGGCCCCACATTTGGTACACAAGTTGTTTGGTGCACCGTGCTCCCTCCTGCACGGGAAAGTGACACATCGTGGCAGTATTGAGTTCACACCGCAGATTCCCTGAGCTACAAGCAAAGAACACATCAGACTAAACCTTTTTCAAGAAGGTCATTGTCTGTGTTGTTTCTGTTTTAATGACAAAGGTCTGTCTTCTTCTTTGTCTCTGGGTTTCGCTCTTTAGAGCCTCCATCTCACCCCGTTCCTCTCTTCATGAAGCTTCTGCACGTCCTCCTTCACTACAGCCACGAATCTTCCCCCTGCCGAGCAGCTTCATATTCAACATCCTTTTTGCAATATTTTCTCCACCCGTCCTCCGCACATGTCCAAACCAGCTCAGCCTCACCTCTCTAACTTTGTCTCCAAGCTGCTCGACCTGAGCCGTCTCTCTGATGTGCTCATTTCTAATCTTGTCCATTCTGGTCCATCCTCCACGCAGACACAGTTCATTACCTTCTGACCTTCTCTATACTCTTCCATCAACAATCTGAAAATCTTTAGAGCTCTTTCTCAGCATGAAGCCACACCGCTGCTCACCGATCATCATCTCTCTTCTTAACGTAGCTTCAATAACTCTTTCTCGTATCGTCGGGGTGAGGCTCATCAGCTTTATCCCTCTGTATTTACTGCAGCTCTGCACATCAGCCCTATTCTTGAAAATCAGTACGAGTACACTTCTCCTCAGGCATCCTGACTGTCCAAGAGTGTGTTAAGCAGTCTGGCCTAAAAGTCCACTCCTCTCTCTCCTACAAATCTCCATAACTTATGTGGACCTGCTGCCTTTCCACTCGTCATCCTTCTCCTAGCTGCCCTCATTTCCTCTTCACTATATTCCTCTAATTGTCCTCCTCTCTCATTTTCTTAATAACAAAGACTTGTTTTAATATACATTTCAGACTTTGAGTGTTTCTTCTAGTCACCTTCTTCACTCATTATGTGTTTATCCACCTCTCTGCATTAGTTATTATTAATCTCTGGCTCTCTCGAGTCTTCATCCTCTCTTCCTGTTTAATCCCAATAAGTCGCAGCAGATGGCCCCGCCCCTCCCTGAGCCTGGTTGTGAGGTTTCTTCCAGGGAGGTTTCTTCCTGTTAAAAGGGAGTTTTTCCTTCCCACTGTCACCAAAGTGCTGCTCATAGGGGGTCATATGATTGTTGGGTTTGTCTCTGTATGTGTTATTGTAGCGTCTACCTTACAATATAAAGCACCTTGAGGTGACTGTTGTTGTGATTTGGCGCTGTATAAATAAATTGAATTGACTTTCAAGCAATTCACTTCAAGCTTCTCTATACAAGTAAAACTAGAATGAACCGTATACCTGTCGTGGTTTTTAGTTTTGTGGCTTCACGGTTTGTGTTCGGGCTTTATAGTCTGCTGTTAGTGGTTGGATCTTGTTTCCTTCAGTCTTGTCTCTGTGTTTGTCTTTTGTCTCTATGTCAAGTTTGCGTGTGTGAGTCTGTCAGCAGTTACTTCCTGTTTTACTTTTATGCTCTTTTCTCTTTTGTGCTTTGTGTCTAATTTCACTTCCCTTGTCTTGTTTTTCCTGATTTGTTCCTGCTGTTTTCCTGCCTGTTTCCTGTCCCCTCGTTACCTGGCGTGTGTTTACCTGAGCCTCCTCTTGTCCGTGTTGTGTCTTCCCTCAGTGCTTTGTGCTCCCTTGTCCTGTGTGTTTCCCTAGATAGCTAGCTTTCCTGCCTCCAGCCCTACTTGTATTTTGAAAGGAGTTTATTAGAACATATCAACATGGAAATAGTGTACAACAGTCAAAAACTGTTTATTTTTTAATTCTGAAAAGCTTGAAAGTCACTGATGGCTATGACTTCCTTTATCTCCAACCCAGCCTGAACTCTCTCAGGAAACTTTCTTTTACTTTCTTCATGAATCGTTCTGCGAGCTTCTTGAAGGACATTCAAAACTCTTTGTTGGATCTTTCTTCCTTTTGTTCTGTTCTTCATCAAGATGATTTAACACTGCTTCAGTAATGTTGAGGTCCAGGCTCAATCCATGACTGATAGTCTTTCATTGTGTGTTTCTGCCCAGGTGTGCTTTCACTGCACTGGCAGTGTGTTTAGATCACTGTCATGCTGAAAAATTAAGCCATTGCCAATCAGACGTTTTCTGGATGGATCAAAACCTGACAGCACTTTTCTACATTCATAATTTCATCACTTTTGACAAGATTCCCAGCACCGCTGGCTGAAATATAGCCCCAAACCACGACAGAGCCCCCATTGTGTTTCACAGATGGCTGTAGACACCCACTGTTTTACCTTTCTCCTGACCTCCTCCACACTTACTGACTTGTTAGTGCAGAAATATGATTTTCTGCCTGTCAAACTGCATTGTCCTCGGCATTTCTCGCAGATTCAAGTAAAAAATGTATGACACATATTACACATATTATGTGTTTTGCAGCAGGCTGACAGTAAAAAAGCCTAAAAATACAAGACAAAATTGGTTCTCTTTGCTAAGTTTTCTGTAAACACAACACTGACTCAGGTGCCCTTTTTTATCAGACTTGATTTACAGGTCAGTGTTAAGTAGCTCAACAAGCAAACAAAAGAAATCTTCAGACAATTGCCATGTACAAGGACTAGCGTGAAAATGAGAGGAAAAAATAAGAGCCAGCATCCAAAGAAAAACTTTAAAGACCTTCAAAATGTTGAAGAATTATCTCTTATGACCATTTCAAAAACTTTAACTCCTTGGAAGCAAAATATAAAGAAATCATGGTTGGCTGTAGACTTTTGCACAATGTGTTTGTATATTTTATAACAACTTTTGAAATGAATGAATGCCTGAAATATAATGGCTCTCAACTTTAGCTCTCACATGCACCCAAGCCTGCACAGCCTGCTATAAAAATAGCACATCACCAACGGCTTGCTCCAAACAGCATTTTGCCACCTTTCAAATCCCAGTGCACAACCACAGCAGTTATGCATATAAGTGAAAAGAAAATAGAGCATTAAAAACCCGTTTTGGCTTAAGACTTTTTATTCTGTTTCAGCAAGTTGCTAGTTTGAAAGAACAGAAGATGAACAACAGAGGTTTTAAAGTTTCACAAACTGCCATAAGGTTTGAAATGAGATGCATACGCTTCACACAGACACATCCCACACACCATAAACATCCCTCTCCATGTTGCCTTGTAGGTAGAGACTTTTAAACAAGTATCCATCCATCCATTTTCTTCCGCTTATCTGGGGCCGGGTCGCAGGGGCAGCAGCCCAAGCAGAGAAGAAGAGGCGCCCAGGAGGGGCATCCTTTTCAGATGCCCACACCACCCCAACTGGCTCCTTTCAATGTGGAGGAGCAGCGGCTCTCCGCTGAGCCCCTCCCAAATGGCCGAACTCCTCACCCTAAGGAAGAGGCCAGCCACCCTTCGGAGGAAGCCCATTTCCGAAGCCCATTTTAAACATCTAGTAGTAGAAAAAACAAATATCTTTACGTTGATATTGGGTCAGGTTTAAAAACTTTCGATTTCGGCAAACACTGGCTCTGAAGAATCCTAGTAAGAGTTCAGGATCTGAGCTCTCACAGGAGTGAGACTTGAGCGATGCAGACCTCACATCAGCGCTGATGCATGCAATGTGGCAGTTGACAAATGGTTTACATGCACTGAGTGGTAGGCCCCCTCTGGCCACATAGTGCTGAGGACACCAGAGAGTCTGCACTGGTGTCCACAGAGCGCAGATTAAAATCTTTTGAATAGAAGGTTTACATCATTAAGTCCCCCACTGCCCGACTCCTCTACCAAAACTTGTTCACATCCTTTCATAGCCCGAGATCCTTTTATCAGAGAACAGTAGTCATATTAGAGCACAGCTCGAGAGTGAGCTGCATGCTAAATTAGAGAGCACAGTGACTCAGTGTTCCAGGTAGCTCCTTCTGTGTTGTGCTCATCCTTTTCATTTGCATTCACAGTGGAGCACATTCTTTGCCAAGCAGCTCACACCACGAGGCCAAGGTCAGGTATTGTCTTCCTCATACACAACAGACTTCCCAGGTCTATCCCCTCACGCCTGACTGCCACCGCAGCTAAATGCCTTTGAACGCAGCTGGTGCATCGGCCGTGACCGATCAACAAGTCTCGGCTGGGGCACAAAGACATTATCAGCGCGAGCGAACTCATTATGCACATGTGGGAACGTATGAATTTCGATAAATTGTCCACAGTCTGATTAAAGCACAATCAATCTGCAATACCAACAAATACCTGCAAAGTGGAAAAGAAGTAGCCTGCATAAACAACAATAGAACCAGCCTGTTTAGCGTCCTGGCAGCAGGAGATAAGCACTTTGAAAAAACAAATAAAGCCATCATTTGGAAGTGTATTGCAATTCATCTTCCTCATTTTTTGGTCTTTTGTTCGAGTACCTGATCAAATAGCATGATTCCTGACAAATAAATGAAACAAACGTCTTTTTCTAATGTCGAGCGCCATCACTGTAACCAAGTAGTACTTCTAAAAGTTTCTAAAATTGTCAGAGAAACTTCCGATTGACCTTTGCACAAAGCTTTACAAGGCACATATTGTCAGGTAAGCTTCCCGTGGCATATAAATCGCACATTTA